ATGCAGAGAATGCACATGCAAAGCCTGCAGGGCATGAGGGAGGTGCCGGGTGCTGGACAGTGATGGTGACGTTTCTATTAGCAAGTATCTAGTTACAGGTGCTCTAGAGCAAAGATGCCAACTCACAGGCTGCCCGTCTTCTCCGGGGTCCCCTTTGTCTCCTGGGCCCCCGGGGGGGCCGGCTGGTCCACGATCTCCCACTCGCCCGTGAGAGCCGGGGTCCCCGCGAAGACCCGGGGGCCCCTCCTTCCCGGGCTCCCCGAGGGGTCCCGCTGGCCCTGGAGCTCCCTGTGGGACAGAGAGAAAGCGGGAGGGCAGGGGGGGCCGGGAAGCCCTGGGCAGCGGTCTGCCTCGGGGGCCCTCCCCGGCCTCACGCCTGTTTTCCCGTCAGATGCTCAGACATTCATTCCCCAGAAGAAAATGGACATCGTTGATAGACAGTTCCCCAGGAGTCATTGTTCAGGGCTGAAATTAACCCGAATTTCAAACCCCTTAAGGCTCTGACCCAACAATAAATACATAACATCTTATCAAGGAAGAGTAACATTTAATAAACAAAGTCCCAGGAATGCTTCCCACTGAGGGAGAGTGTGAGCACAGGACTACTGGGATTTAGTGACCACAGGGGCCAGCAGTCAGATTGGGGCTGAAAGGACTTGCAGATCAGCTCCCCCAAGGAACAGGGGATCAGAGATGAATTTGCTTTGACAGCGCACCAGTATGAATTGTCAGATAAGGGTTGTTAATATGGGAAAACAAATCATGCATGGATTGAATTACAGAGTAAGTAATAGGAATTAAATCTGTGTGTATCTCTGTCATGTGTACAGATACGTGTGTGTGTGTGTAGTTACTCCACCTTCAATAGTGGGACTGACTTACAACAGGGCCTGGGGGTCCAACTCTGCCAGCAGAACCAGGAAATCCCGTCGCGCCCTAGAAACGCAGCACAGAAGCCCCTTAACGTAACAGGGAGTGACGCCGGCTCCCGCTACCTGTTTCCACAGGGCGCTGGGCCTTTGGGCTCCCTCCTGGCTGTGACCCAACTCCAGCTATGCCTGATCCTTTGTTTGGAGTGGAGCTGGGTTAACCAGGAGGAAGGCTGCGATTTCTCCCTCTCCGTCTCCACTCATCTTGAGCATCTACAGGCATGTTCCAGGCCAGGGCTGAAACCACATT